AGGCTCATTCAACTCTGATGCTGTGGAAAAACCAACAGGGTATATATTGGCTTTTCTAGCTAAACAAGAGTGCATACTTTCGTTAGGAAAGGTGAAGAAAAAACTGTAGCAACCTAGAGTTTGAAAAGGTTGTGTAAGTGGTTAAAAACCTTAATTATTTAATAGTTATTTATAAAGAATGTCATAATCTCAGGGTAGAAAGGTTTTATGGGGATAATTAGTCCTCATTTACTTACTGCCTCTTACTTTTTTCAGAGGTGATTAAGGTTTAACATTACTGTATATAAAATCAGATTTCATCACAATGTACTTTACAGCTTCAGGAAAACACAGCCGTTTCTGTAGCAAAATGTATATATAATATATTGCTTTCCCTTTCTGTCTAAATGATTTCAATGCTATATCTGCAGATTAGGCTAAAGGACAACACTTTCCCCACAGCATTACTCTAGAATTTATTGTTTTTTCTTGAACACTCGCTTACGGTTGTTATTGCCATGGCTAAAGCATTAGAGCATGCGGGAGACGGCTGATGCAAAATACTGGTTAAGAGGTACTCTTTGTCTGGCTTATGTCCACTCTACATGAGCGATAGCTGATGGAGGCAGACTGGACAAGAGTAAGAATGTTTCTCCATAAAAAAAACTCTTTATGTCCATGAAAGAGACCATATCCTATGTCCTTCCTGTGCCCTGTGAATGTGGATCACTTCTAGATATGTGCTTCTCTAAAACAGACTAAAACATGGTGAGAATTCCTGGCGGTGTACCTTGAGAAGGAAGAATGAAATTATTTTCAGATATTAAATGCTGATTTTCTTACACTATAATTGAGAGAGAATACTTTATACAGTAATTAAGCAAGGCAAGAGACTTCTTTGTTAATGATCGTGCTAGCTACTTTAGGAACATCCTGATTCCGTGCCATACCTGTTGCAAAGGACCTCCTCCTTCTTCCTAATAGAACTGTTATATGTTTGGACCTATCTCATCTGTCTTGTTTCAGTTACTGTTTCCTGATACCAGCAGGATTTTCTGGAGAAAGCACTCTTAGTGTGTAAATAATTAATTGCTATTTTTTCAGCAGTTTTTGTACTTCTACCTTTCTTTTTCTCTCCCTTTTTTCCTG